TGAATGCACCGTGGCGAGACTCGTAGCCGCGACTAAACGAGATCCCTCTCGTCCAACAGAACGCTCTGAATCCGTCGCTGGCACGCGATCGTTTTCGCGACGAGAGAAGGATACTTCCACGAGGCATTGAATTCCCAGCACGCGCGACCCGGACAAGACGAGCCGAGACGAATCGGTCGTCCCGATGCCCACGCTCTCGCCTGACATTCCGCCCGGGAATCGCGTGTCCTTGCATCGTCCTCGGCGCATTCTCGGGTCGTATCCCCGAGGCAGAGGAAAGTATCGGCGTTATACTGCCAATGATTCTCGTACCTTACGTGCCGATTGTCAGTTCCTCAATACACATAACACCAAGTACTGCGAGTACAACAAGCGAAATGAGGCGCGTAACGACATTCCAATCTAATATTACTGCGATACCGCGTTCAGCTTCATTTCTAAAGGTACTATAAATTTTCCATGTATCTTATAAACGTAATAGAGACATTTTTTTTAATTTATGCGGGAGAGATAGAAATAAATCTACGTTCTTAGATTTTGATTGCGACATTTAATATTAAATCGCGTACAGTTTTATTCCTTTCTCTCTCTCTCTCTCTCTCTCTCTCTCTCTCTCTCTCTCGATAAATTATTATTTATTGCTATAAATGTTTATTAAAAGTTACTTTCTTGTAAAATTCTTATTAAGGATGCACCGGATATCCGAAAAATATCCGGTATCCAGTACTATCCGGCATTTTTACTATCCAACCGGATAACCGGATATCACTATTATCCGGAGAGGTATCTGGTTAAAATTTGATATCATTAAATTGCTGATTTTTTCTTATACAAATATTCTAGAAATAAGTATGCATATTCATGATGCTATAATATCTTATACATTGTTGCAAAATTACAATCTTTTTCCCAATAGGCCTTTTTTTTTAGAAGACACTTTCTCGGAATTCTGTCGGATATCCGGAAAATGTCGGATATTTGACTCAAAGAAATTGCCTTTTCGGATATCCGGTATCCGGTAATTTTACGATCCGGTGCATCCCTAATTCTTATAAAATCTTATAAAATTCTAGCACGATAAAGAAATAACTACAAAACTGAAGCCTACTAGTGTCAAGAGTTTAAAAAAGGATAACAACAACCTGTTGAATCTCATCGTGCTTTCAATATTATGCTAGAAGAAGAAAAGAAACAAGGAAATCAACTACAATCTTGGTATACTTTTACCTACGATTATTATAGATTTCAATTCCATCAAGTTTTCAATTTCGCTTTATTTAAAGCTCATTAGTGCTACATAAACAATTAGTGTTGATTTTCAAACTCTGATTGTATTATAATACTTATTTTTTTGTACCATTATCCATTATTTTCCACTGTCGAGTCAAATATTGCGAAACTTGAAAATGATGGAGTATTCCCTTTTTTCAGATACGACTCTCAAACTCTTCAGGTGCATTTTTCAGTTGACTTTATTGTAATGTTTCTTAAATTCTTTTCGTATTTTTCATGGTCTAAATTTTTTCGGTCACGTATATTTTCAAGTTTATATATACACATAAAACCGTAAGAAAATATAATTTTTTAATAACATAAGTTGGATTTGTCAAAATCAACCGTCATCTTTTAATTCATTTTACTGCTAAATTAGTGTATTTTATCGTTAGTGATACTGGATATGTATTATAATATTGAACGTTTTTTTTATTTTTTTCTAATTTACGTAAATAAAATATATTAACCCTCGAACGGTACACATGGGTCTTTCGTATCCATGCTATTTCTAATAGTTCTTATTTGTCATATACCTGGGTCCCTATTCTGTAACTCTCTTCACACGCCTATCGACAGGGCTGCGTTAAGAATCGTCGTCCAGATGCATCCAGATGTCGTTTTATTCTTATTGTTCACGAATGTTAAACAAAGATAAAAGAACATCTGGGTGCACTCAGATGATAATTCTGAACGCAGTTCTGTTGTCGATGTTGTTGCGCAGATATTTTATATGGTGAAAAAGCTGCGCAACGACACCGACAACTGTCGGTAGGTGTGTAAAACAGTTACAGAATAGAGGGGTCCTGGGGCCCTATTCTGTAACTGTCTTTACACGCCTACCGATAGTTGTCGGTGTTGTTGCGCAGATATTTTATATAGTAAAAAAGCTGCGCAACGACACCGACAAATGTCGCTAGGCGTGTAAAACAGTTACAGAATAGGGGCCCTGAGACCCTATTCTTGAAAAGTATCGCATACGAAAAACTAGAGAAATGCTATAGTATATGTAACGCATACTATAGTATTACCCTAACTTTTCGTATGCGATACTTTTCGAGAATAGGGCCCCTGTGCACGTAGCTCTATGCCCCCCCCTCCCCCGGGAAAAATCTTTGTGATGAGGGGAATGTAGGGGAACAACGGCGACAGGGAATCTCTATGTGTTGCCGACCAGAACAGTCGTAAGGTTGTATGAGGAATCGAGATACCCATATTTATAGTCGAAAAGTGGCCTTTTTCACAAGAGTAAGTGAATTTAGTTATTTTACTATTTTTGTATTGAGTAGGCTTATTTTATCGTGTCTACATTTTTTTCGTGGCGTAGCCGCCCCGAGCCAATAAACACTACTGTCTATACACCACACTGTCCACATGACAGATTTCCTAACCTCCATAGTCGTGAACTTTTACGCTTTATCTCGGTTCGCAAAGTAGAGCGACGCTTTTTTCTGCCGGATTCTTTCGTTTCGTGCAAAAACGCATTGATTGAGTATATTTTTATCGAAATTACTGTCCACACGACAGATTTCCTAACTTTATTTTTGCTTTTATGGTAAAGATAACATGGTACGTACTACATTAAAAATATGACATATTTAGATGCCCAAATAATTACACTCTTTTTGCATCTGGCTTGTGTAATATTTTTTTTGTAAATTATGATATCTGTACAAAAACATCCTGCAATGATTTTTTTTATACATATATAGCAAAGTTACAACTTTTTTATCAAAACTGAATTATTATTTTTTTCTGGTGCAGAAAATAATTTTCATAATTTTTCTAAACATTTTTTCCAATGTTTGCATAGCAGATTAATTTAGTAGAGATCTTAAAGAATATGTGTGAATTTTTATAGAATTTTTCGAGCACTTTAAGAGCCTTAAAATCGAGTCAGACACGAATGATCCATGTGTACCGTCTAAAGGTACCTACCAAAATTAAGTTTGTTGTTCGAGGGTTAAGTAAAATGTTAGATTGAAAACGCGATAAAATAGTTAAACATAATTTAAACTAACAGAAAGTACGACTAAGAACATGTAAATAAAAAACCGTCATCAATGTTGAAAGCAACATCTTTTATAAATGACCAATAAGTATGAAAAAAGAAACATTAAAAATAAACCGCATAATTCTTTGTCATTTTAAAAGCGACTTAGTGTAACTTTGCCAACTGAGCAAAATTTTTTTCGTTGTAGGTAGTAGCAGATCATTTAGCATGTTGAAACAATAATAATATATTTGGAGGCACTGGTAGTGTCTGAGCGCTAAGCTACGCGCAGCGACACTGCCGTTACGGCTACTTTACGCGAACCGGAGAGTTGCGTCAGGTCGAGGTTATCGGAAAGTTAATAAGGGCTGAACCGTTCACTTAAACCTCAATACTTACTTCACTACACACGATGAATCTCGATCGTGTACCAGATTAACTTTCATTATTTTTATATTCTAGTAAGGAATTTCTCTTGCAAGAATATATATAAATACGTATAAACATACATAAACATGTATAAATATTCCTAAATATACATCTTGAAAAAAATTTCTTTTCCGAAAACTGGTTTTCGGAACGCGCAAAAATTCTGACAGAGCAGACCATCATCTCTGAACGCCTATAGTCAGCAGTTATGATAGGTTACGATAACTGTCAAAGTGATGCAGAATTGTCTTGTACACGGTGAAATAAAAAAAATGTATTTGTGCGCAGCGGAAAATTCGTAAGATACCCTTCGAATACCATAAAATATATCGTGGTAAATAATAATAAAGTAAACGCTAAATTTGTTTCATAAATTTATTTATATTTTCAAAAATAACATGTTTATTATTATTAAAAATTCAAAAATTAAAAGTAATAATATAACATAATATTATTCTAGCGAGTCTGTGATATCAAGGCAAGTGGAAGAACACTTTACTATAAAATAATATACAAATAAAATAATAAAAATATAATAATATAATAAATTACATTATAATAACATAATTACGTATATGATTATATTAGTATATTAGTGTTGCTCAGATGCCGACAGGAAGCAGATAAAGTGACAATACATTATCAATACATTATCAATTTTCAATACATTATCGTGGAGAAGCCATTCGAAATGTTTTTGGATGGCATTTTTCATATAATTACCACCACCTCGCCATCACTATATCTACTTCCTGTCGGCATCTGAGCAACATTAATATACTAATATAATCATATACGTAATTATGTAATGAATTAAAAGATGATGGTTGATTTTGACAAATCTAACTTACTTCAGTTGGTTTACCTCTTATTGCATTGTTGTCTTATTCTGATTTTGTTACAGGTAGGCTTTGTAACAAAACAATTATGCTGACGCTTAACCATTTGCAAGCTAGTATTGTCTATTGTATTTATGTTTATGTTAACAATAGACTATTGTATCATATTTTATATCTATTACTCTATTAACATATAATCTTTTTCATAAAGCTTTGCAATAAACTAAATTAAATTAAATTAAATTAAAAATTGAATTATGTTTTCTTACGATTTTAGGTGGGTAAACTTGAAAATATACATGACCGAAAAAATTTAGACCGTGAGAAATATGAAGAAAATTTAAGGAACATTACAATAAAGTCAACTAACAAAATACACTTGAAGAATTTGAGAGTCCTATCTGAAAAATAGGGGAATACTCTATCAATATCAAGTTCCGTGATATTTGAATCAACAATTGAAAATAATGGATAAAGGTACAAAAATATATATATTCCAACAGTGTGGTAAGATTTATGTAGTTCATGATTAATATTTTTAGAGTTTTGGATATCTTTGTATTATTTCAACAGTTCCGTCTTATATTACCATTTCCACATTTGTTTTTTAACAGCCATCTTCAATAATATTAAAGATGAGCACATTCCCTCCTTACAAGCTTTGAAACGACATAATAGTGAGGTACATACTGAAGATAAACCCTACAAATGCGAAACGTGTGGTAAAACGTTTCGGTGTAAAAAATATTTACGCGATCATATGAGTATTCATAGAGGTGAAAAACCTTGTCTATGCGAGGTTTGTGGAAAATTATATTCGTGAGTAACAAAAATTATAGGAATTATTGAATAATCTATTTACTTAAAAATTAATAGTTAACAAATGATAAATACTTCGCAGTCATATACGGAGTCTACACAAACACAAGAAAGAATTGCATTTCGATATAAGTGACGATTATTACAATTGTAACGATTGTTTGAAGGGTTTCGATAATGAACAGGATTTGAATAATCATTTAGTCACGAAGCATTCTGACATCGATGGAAGATCGCATAAATGTGAGACATGTCCAGCTAGATTTAAAAGTTTAAGCGAACTTAAACAGCATATAAAAATACATACAGGCAAGAAACCACATGTTTGCGAGGTGTGTGCTACAAATTTATTGTTAGTACTTTTTCTAATTGTTTCTCATTTGATTGTGTTTATTTTTACATTTCTGTAATTATAAATGTGCTGTGTTTTAGATTTGCGGCAAAGCGTTTACTATTAAAAGTAACCTAAGCAAACACAGCAATATACATACCGGCAAAAAGCCGCATGAATGTTCGATATGTAACAAGCGCTTCACGCAAAAAATAGGACTTAAAAGACACATGAAAACTAAGGTCATTTATGATATAACATTTTAATTCATTAGCAGATTTATATTTGTCTTCCTATTTTTGTTATATATTCATGATTATACACGGAAAGAATTTTTTTTTTTAATTTACCCTGAAAATATGGTGATTATGGTACAATACAATGTTTTAAAGATTTTTACCATGCACTTCAGTAAAATTGATCAAACTTATTTTATACTTTATTGTAGTTTTATTAATGAATGAGAGAGATTTATATCAAAATTCTTCGATATACAATGTTGTCCCACGATTGTCATATTTTCAGGGTAAATTCTAAGAAAAAATTCTCTCCATGTATTATAATAGATTATTGTAATACACAATACATTTAATACATACAAAATTATTTATTTTTTAGGTTCACATGAGTGATATCGTAGTAAAGAACTAACCGCGACTGACATACAAGCGTAACAACGTCAGCTTCTAGTTCAATATGTATAGCAGCATTTTTTAAGAAATTCTGTTTTTAATTCACGAGTGTACTACTTTAAATCCAACAAAAACGTAAATAATTAAAGTTATTAAAAAAATTAATTTACTGGTCGGTTTTGTCTTCTGAACGCGTTGTGAACTTCGCACATCGGTGATACTGTGTCTGACAGTGTTCAATTATATTTCCTAGAAAAATTGCATCTATTGGAAAACTCCTATCTATGCAAATATTATATCTCGTAAAAAAATTACATTTTATCCTCAATTTCTTTCATCATCGGGGTTCGTCATTATTATTAAGAGTAGTCATAAATGTATTTAATCGACTATTCTGTTGTCATTAAAAATTTTTTAATTCTGATGATAGACTCATCATGATCAGCCAGCCAAAAAACCCTAGAAACTCACATGCATTTCAAACGATGTATTAAAATTAAAATCTCAACTATGTTGGATCCGCCAATTTGAATTTTTTTTTCTCAATCAAGATCAGTGAATTTAAAGAACTTTGAAAAACCAATTCTCATGCGTTTCGGACAAATTAATTAATGTACATGTTACATTTAATGAAAGTATCTAGGAAAGTTATAAATTTTAAGATTGTATTAAAATCTAGAGAAGGTGATGACGTATCACCAGTAAGTTCTCAAGGGATTGAAACTTGCAATGCGGGCGGAGCAAATTTTGGAGATAGTTCGCCAGTAGAAATATAAAACACAAATTTACTACCAAAAGCAGAAAAATCTCTCCAACCCAAATCCCTGATTTTTCCCACTTAACACGTCTCATCAGAGGACCACCTTCCGAAACTCTCTATATAAACCGTGACACTACGAGACTCGCTCTCATTATTTCTGATCTTACTCAGTGTCCGGTCCTGTTTTCTCGAGCAGTTTGTCATTTTCAGTTATAGTCCATTTTTCGGTCAAATAACATACATAGAACAGTTCAGTGTATAATAGAAGAACCAACACCTCACTGACCGTCTTCAGAACACAGTATCATTTTAAGATTGGATGTACGTGTTGACTATTATTTTTGTATGTATGACTATCACTTATGTATCTACCATTGTAAATCAACAAACAAGATCTATATTAAAGCAATTGATATTAGAGCATTAGTAATTTGTTCTTGTCTCAATTATTGAATCATCGCCATAATATTCCAAGAGTTCTGCGTAAAAACATCTTGCTTTAAATAAAGATTGACGTACTATTCCTGAGAGGAAGAATCCCGTTTGCTTACAAACTATTATTCAAGATCTGTGACATTAAATTCTTCTTGATTGGAAATTCTTGAAATTCAACATTTTCGGATTACATTTAAACTCAATGATATCAAGAACCTCTTAAAATTAAGTTTCACGATATATGTATAATCAGATTATTATTTTAATTTAAATTTTAGAATTCTGAAACTAAAATCGAATTCGGCGATCCCGAAAATCTTTAGAAAACAAGATTTTCTTTATCTTACATCGTTAGAAAATTCCGGTCCTCGAAGAGTTAAGTGTCTTAAATATTCTAAAAATATTTTGACATAACACGATGACGTGTTCGGAAATGATCGATGCTGTCTCGGCGCAATTAACCATTACCGAGAAGATGGCACAATCATTCACGACGATACGACACCGCTGACTAGAGCATCATTAAACAAATCGCCTTCACCCAGCGCGCGATGTTTGCATACGCAACTAGACAAATCGCCGGTCGAACGGAATGAAACATGGCGGTGAAGAGACGAGACGGCAGCTACCGCGCCGAGTGATCCCCCAACGATAACGAATGAATCGATTTGCGTGGCTCGTTAACAATACACGCATAAGGAACGCTAATGCGCCACTTTGTTTCAGACCTCGACCTCGCCGCAGCAAACTTGTACCCGAAAAGACTAAAAAGACGTACGGGTCATGTATCGTTGGGTCCCGTGTCTACCTCACGTTCGAGAACTCTCCCTCTGGCATAACTATATCCTCGTCGAAAATACCGCGACAAGGACGATCGTCTTGGCTGCATGGCGCTCGCAAAGTTAGTCGATTAAACTGATCCTGTAATGACTTACATACCATTTCCAACACACTAGCAATTGTGGCTCGTCGTTTACACAACGTGTCATTTTTCTTGCCATCGAGATTGCATTACGTTTATAAAGCAATCTCTTCACGCGCGGGTGCGTAAAATTATTGCATTCAGCGAACACAACGCCTGAGTGAGCGCTCAGTAATTGTTGCCTGTGATTGGAGTAAATCTTTTGATCCACGATAAATCTAGATCTAGAAGAGTATATATACGAACAGCAGCAAGTACTTACTTAACCATTGTATTTATCGAACGCGCTTATTGTATTTTAATCGGAGTAACGACAGAAGTTCTTTCCAGCATAAATTTAATAGTCTAAACATTTTTTTTTAAGAGTGTGATTTAGTTTTGTGAGGATTTTTTTAAACTGATTTATTTAAATAACATATCGTGTAAACGTTTAATAACTGTCGTACGATCAACATTTAACTCTCTGGCAAGTTCTGAAGTGAATTGTGCTGGATCTTTGTCCAATAACGCTTGCAAATCTGCATTTTCCAGCTTTTGTCGTTACATTGAAATTATCACACTTGAACCGACAGAATCAACATTCATTTCACATGTCTTAATTGATAGAGTAACATCACCATAAATTTCTATTAGAATTCTATGACTGTCAACTGTCGTTTTCTTCTGATTAAAAAACAAAAGCAACGTGTGTCGAAAATGTTCTTTAGGAAGTTCCATTTTTTAAATGATATAAACACGATGTTTACTATTGTTAATAAACGTCTAAATATCATGGAGTAATATTAAAGCATTAGGAAATAATAGCTGTGATTGGAGTGTCTTCGACAACACCGATAGTGCCATTTCTTGCAAAATCTTCAAAACTAAATCACACTCCTAATAAGCATATTTTCGTCTTTTTTTTCTAGGACGTTTTCAATTCAAAATTATTTAAGTATAATCTACTTGCTGCACTCTGCGATTTAATACATCATGAATTTTAAACAAGAACATCACTGTAATTACTGCATCGCTGAAGATGGCTCGAATGGAGCTGAAACGTTCGATCGATTTATAATGTAAAAATGGAAATATATTATTGTTAAGATCAAACACACCAATTACTGCGCTATATTATTGCTCTCAATCGCCCGAATATTTCTAATTAATGTTTGTTTATTTAAGTATATTACAAGCGCAAAGCCTCCGAAGATTCCATAGAATAGGCAAGAATCATCCGGGAAATCGGGATCTGTTGACGGCACGATGAAGATGAGTTATGGCGACCGTCGCCTCCGGGTCTCGCGGGGCCCCCGGGCCTCTCCACCACTGTCGTTCCGTGAGATCTTACAAATGCTCGCGTGCACGTACGCCGTAATGGCAACGTCGTTAACTCTTTATACGTTTGTCAGCCCTGTTTGAGTAATATCATTGTCGACCGATACCAGGCCGCGCCGCTGCTGCCGCCGCCACTTCCCACCAAGAAGGACCACGTTGACCGAATTGGTCGTACATTCTCGGAGAAATAAGAAGATTCGCGCGAAATATTACGACTCTTTGTGTTATTTATTGCAAGTAATATTGCAATCCGTCTCGCTTTTTTTCCTCTCTTAACCCACCGGAGCTGACGCCAAAATCCGTAACAGTTTCTGACACTGAGTCTGTAAGATCCATTAATTTATGTTAATTAAAAGGCATAAATTAATTTCGAGGAACCAAAATGATATAACTCGTATAAAAAAGATTGAATACCAAGTAATTTTATTTCTCTCCGTCTGAAATCATATTTTTATTCCTTCTGTCAGCCCAAGTTTTTTTTACTGTTCAAGGCTTTCGAAAAATGTGAAAAAATTCAGGTTTACTTTTTGACATTTCTATTACATTACCAAATAATTTTTTAACAAGATATTTTAAGAGGATGAATCGGATTCCGCCTTCCTTCATTTAGGAGTAAAATTTTACTTGTGCCAAAAAAAGAGACCCAGATAATTTTAATTTTAGTCCGTTTCGTTCTGACTGACTGAATTCTAATCTTCAATTGATAGTCCTCAATCTTCAATGCGTTTTGCGACACAGGTTTTAGTGTTAACTTCAGGTTTGTGTGTTGCGTGAGGTAGAGTTGGTGCACCTACCGTTGCCAAGCGTATCTTCTCCACATGACGTAGCGTGCCGTGAGCGTCTGTGAAATGGCATCTCTTCCGACGCGGCGACGCGGCGGCATTGGCGACGTGCCGTCGCGGATGCCGCCGGGTACTACCGCACTAGCATTACTCGACGAGAGTCCATATAAAGAACACGCGCAAGCGGGCAGGTAGAAGCCAGGAGCTGCGCGCGGCGTAGTTCTCGCAGAGACAGAGAAACGAAGACGGAGGATCGGACGGACGTGGACGCGAACATAAAATGCGTACACGACGAGACTCATGTGTGCGTGTACTTAGCATAAGTCTCGCACCCGAGGCACTCTCTCATCGTATTTCATGCCGACTATGCTTATACGCTCGCGTCGCTCGCCGCGTATAACCGCCTATTCCTTCTTCTTCTTCTTTCTCTTCGTCGTCGTCATCGTCGTCGTCGTCGTCATCGTCGTCGTTAACCGCGAGCTACGTCTCGGGTGCGAGGATAGAAATCGCTCCTGGTAACCGAACGCGATCCCGCAACAACGCGTAACGATGTTACTTCTGAAAGGGATCGGATTTGGTTCGTCGAACTGACCGCAAAAGGTATTACAAAGTTGTTTGTTGTGCGGTAAAGACATGTCTTCAGTTTAAAGAAGAAATAATCCGAGGGGGGATAACCATTAGCTGAAATATTGTCCCACAGATTACATAATTTCATTTGTTTCATACAACTTCACCTGATGACAAATAATTTTCTTTACTATATATGAAGTCATTTGGTAAAATAAATAATTTTATCTAATATTACACAATTATTTCTCGTAGTTGCTTATGTAATTATTGAACACCGGAATTTCATATGAATATTATAATGATTTCGGAAACTCTGTCCCACGATTACTTTAAGTGATTACTTCCTCGAAATAATCATCTACACTGTTAAATTTTATAGGGTCAAATGAACTTAATGTGAGTCGCCACTGCTTCTACTCAATAATATCTTTATTTTTTACTAAAACAATGATTATATTTGACACTATATACAGTATCAATTTAACATTATATAGTGTCAAATTTAATTATCATTTTAGTAAAACATAATATATTTAGTAGGAACAGTGGCGACTCACATTAGGTTAATTTGACCCTATAAAATTTAACAGTGTACGTGCATATATGCATGTTAACGCTTTCAAAATCTTTATACTTATTATTTACCGAATATTGAAGGAGAATAAAATGATACATCATGCGCATCATGCGTGAAACGGAATGCACTCGAAGTGAAACATCACGCGTACAGTCATGCCAAGTGGAATACTTACGGTTGATTTATCGGACTCTCTCAATTATATTCTTTATGTTACATCTGCAAAGAATTGTATGGATAATTATATGGAAAATTAAATCCCGGTGAAATGAGTTACAGTTCTGATATAACGTAGCTTATAATGTGGTGAAAAGATTTTATAGACACAAGGTTCAGTAATGGATAATTTTTAAACAATGATATATCAAAGGTGTAAATCTCGTGCTCACCTTTAATAGCTCAGAAGCTTATTAAGCTTTGTGTTTATAATATCTTTTGTTCATCACATTATAGCTACATTATATATGTGAAAATTAACTAATTTAACCGAAACCCAATTTGCCATATAATTAATAGGATCTTTTGAATCATAATTATTAAATCAAACTTAGTATTCACATTAAAATAAAAATAAAAATAGTTTTATATTTGATTTAATATTCACACACGCGTTTTTTTTTTAATACGATTTATGTCACTTTGTCGTTCCTTGACATTAATTATATAGTAGATATTTTTTAGCCAACATAAATTAAATGGGTTTCACATATTCGTGTCATTAATTGTGTTTGATGTCCTCCAACTCCGGAGAGTTAAAAAACATAAATTTGTATTCAAAAACATATAATTATTTCCTGTAAGAATTACTTACATAAATTGAAATCGAATAGAGTATAAAATTTCTTCAAGTCGCTAAATCAACATGTTTAACTTCATCAATCTCGACAGAAATAGAGACACGTGGATAAAGGCTTATCAGCGACGCGAAGCAATCAGTAGGAACATTACGAGCGTTATAACGACACCCGGATTGCGTGGTGACGCAGATTTAACGAGCCGCTTACGATCGCCAGGTATTTGCGAATTATCAAGCGCGATAGAGACATCACGGGAACGACATCCTCTCGCGATATTATGGCGTCGACCGGAGGCTTCACGGAGGGTAACCGCGAGACTACTTGTGGCAGTGGTCACGCGAGTTCCGGAGATTGGCAGAATTTACCCAAACCCACGATAGACGTCAGTCGAAACGATCGTTTCTCTCGCTTTATAGGTTTCGCGATAGCGAAATAGTATAAGGCAACCGCGTGTTCGTACTAAAGTTAAAGATGCGATACTTCGAAACGAAGTATATCCGAATATTCTAACTGACAAGATGCAATAAACCCACCCGTGCGCATATACATAGATCAAGATTTAGTCCTCTTGAAACCCTAATATGGCACGTTTGTAAAGATTATTCAAAGATTAGGTGGTGGCAGAGTGATTTCTCGAATGTTACCTCGCGAAGATCGCCGTGACGTTTTAAATACTGAGAGCAGTTGGACGCGCGGATTAAAGCCTCGTGGTTAAAAGTTATTTACAACAGGAGGCTCGGCGTGTGCGCGGCTTAACGAGCCTTTGAAAAAATTTATGCGCGTCTTAAAACTTTCTTAATCAGGATTAATGCGGAAGAAAAAGAAGGACACGCTTGATAGGCCGCGGATACTTTGCACGAGCCTATCGCCAGAAACGACTTATAGTGCGTTGAGATTACAGATATCTAAGTATATAATTATAGATTACTAAACGCCTATTCTCTGTATATCGTAGATTTCCTTATCTACGTGTTGCCAATGTAAAAGTAATGCACGAAATAGATATACAAAAAGAATGATTTTGCCCAAGTATTTAGAAGTTCAGATTTACATTTGAAAATAAATTAGTAGGCCCACCAAAATAGTTTCGTAGGAATCTCAAGCATCAAGCAATGTCACAAAAAGTTTTGACTTTTTAGCAAACAGTTTAAACCTACATAATTATTTTGATAGTCCAACAAAATTATTTTCAGATCTATATCTAGTTAAATTTTAGATTCTTCCTAAATAAGAGGCAGATATCAGTAGTCAGTTGACTAGCCTCTATGTGATAAAAATATCTAGATAAAAATGTTTTTATATAAAGCCTTATAACAGAAAGGCTGGTTTATAATCTTAAGACAATGTCTTATAACTTAATTTTTATGTCTTTAATAACGCACAAGGACTGTCTTATGACGTTATGACATATGTCTTAAAGGTATATAATCTCGTATTTATACATCTTTAAGGCATGAGTCATAAGACAGTTCTTGTGCGTTACTAAAAATAAGACGTAAGTCAAAAAACACTGTCTCAAGATTATAAGTCAGCCTTCTTTCTGCTAAGGTTCGGTTGTACCAACGTTACTTTTACTTTAAGCAAGACTTAAAACTCTCTGTCTCGTTTTAGAGCGAAAAAGAGATACACAGAGACAGAGTTTTAAGCCTCTTAAAATCAAACTTAAAATCAAAGTAACGTTGGTGCAATAAAGGGTTTAAAACTATTAGAATATGTTATTCTGCGCAAGCGTGAGCCTTATTCTGCACATCTCGTACATACTCTTTAGTAATAATTAAAAGAACGCAGTTTGGAATCTAGTGTATTATATAGATGTCTATGATTGGGATACGCTTCGCATTCAAAGCACCTTGTATGTATGCCGTAATAATCTAAATTAAGTCCACAAGACTTTTTCCACGGCACGAGTTCTCACAAGTCCTTTCCAAGCCGTTCACCGTTATCGAGGGGATAATAATGTCCTCCCGCGGCGCGAGACGAGGAAGAAGACATGAAAAGACTCGGAGGAATACACGTGTACCCTCTCGACGTCTTCCTCGAACAGGCGCGGTCCTTGAGACTTTACGCCCAGCTATTTCACGGAGGATGTGATGCAAACGCGATGCGAACTAACCGCGTGGTTAGCGAAGATTTCGGGAGATACGCTTTGACGCTCCCTTTGCTACAGACTGGGCCGCGAGAGTGCAAAGATAACGCGGTTGATAAGCGTTATCTTACATGCAGCATCTCGCGTGTTACAAAGCGATTCTAATTTTCTTTCTAAAGAAAGACTGTCTAGAATTGTTTTTATTTTCGAGAATGGTTTTATTTACTTTATATTCTTGTGTTGACTCTGTAGATCTTAAGCCGACAGATTTTCCATATAACATAAATTGTTCCAGCAATATTGCAGCAATGTTGCTGCAAATTTCTGTTCTGTATGGATACTAAATATCACTATACAAAATGGATCGTATTGAATGAATTGATTCATAAATTCATATATTTATGGATTTATAGATCTATCAATCATTATATTTATGGGTCCCATGAATTCATAAGTTTACGGATTGATGATTTAATAAATCCATAAAATCATACGTCTATAAGTTGCGAGATCCATCACAGTGTACGTAACCATAAATTTATAGATCCGTAAATCTAGTGATAGTTGCTTCATCCATATATTACACGAACTATGATTTCATTGATACATGAATTTGTGCGAATTAAATTCCTACAGAGTTTCCTAATCCCTACCTACATCAATAGATTGCTAATTCTCGATAACGCATAAGCACAAAAAAATTTTGCATCTAAAAATTAAAGTATGTATTTAAGAAGCTAGATATAATCTCTTTCCTTGGTAAAATTTACTTTAGAAAACTTTAAAAAATACTTAAAACTTATTGTAGAGAAAACCTAAAAAATATGAAAGGTATTTTAAACTTTTCTTTAAAGTAACTTTAAAACTTACTTAAGAAAAAAACTGAAAGGGATTGAAGAAAATGAAACAAACTAAAGAAACTTATAAATTAGAAAATTACATTAACAATTGTGAACTTTTTTTTTCATGATTGAAAAAAATATGAAAATTTGTATCAAGGCAAACCTCTTTTATTTATAAGAAAATTTGCCATTAAAAAATTATTTGGTTACAAAGGTGCTTTTTGTGACGTCAGATTAGTTTCAGCGTTGACGCTCAGAAGTTCAGACTTTCCAACTTCTAAGCGTCGCGCGCGAAAGAACTGTTTTTTTAAGAGCAGCGAAATAGATTCATTAGCTGTACATACTTAGTAAATTAATCAATTATAGTTAATCAATAGTTAATCACAATTGAGAATTTGCTTAAATCGATTAAATGTTTACTAGTGAATGACGTTTAGCATATCTCTAAGAAGTGATCCTCTATGTTTGAAGCCCTTGCCACACACCACACATTTAAACAGCTTTTTATCGCTATGTACAAAACTGTGTCTGGCTTTGAGTTGTTTGGTACGAAAGGTTTTACCGCAAACCTAAAATACAATACATTTATAATTATAGAAATGTAAAAAGAAGAACAATCGTATGATAAATAATTGGAAAAAATACTAGCGATAATTTTGTAGCACATACTTCGCAAACGTATGGTTTCTTGCCTGCATCTATCTTTATGTCTTGTTTCAAGATCATAAGATGGGCAAATATAGATGGATATTGGTGCAAATTTGTGAGCACGAGTGTGGCGTAGTGGCAGCACGAGACTGCTATGCCAGAGGTCTCCCGGGTTCGATCCCAGGCAGATTCGAGAATTTTTCACGCGCTCGTAACTCCTCTTCGGTGGTCTGGCAAACCACCAAGAGTATCTATTGCCAAGAAAACCTCTCAAAAACTGCCGTTCGAAACCGGCGTTTAAAAGAAAAAAATATCCGCCAACTTTATAAAAAAGATATCGAAAATTACATTCCTTTTAATAAAAAACGGATACGAAATAAATGCAATCAGCCAAACATTTCATGCTCGTACATACTCACACACTCATGTGTATTGTTAGTCCACCTTATTTTCTTTCTTAAATCTCTTCATTATTTTTCTTTTTATTCGGTATTATTTGATGATCATCTTATTATATTTTGAGGTCTAGCAGCTCGCCAAGTTTTTTTTACATAAAAAATTTTGTTATTTTAATAAAATTTTCTCATTTTGTGATACTTCGTCTTTAATTCTTTGAGGTTAAATGTTGTATTCCATTGCAAATATAAAAGACTCTCGAATAGAAAGATAAAGGTACGTGTCACTTTGTCTCGTTAATTAAATGTTACATGTTGCAATAAAATAAATGTTCTTTTTGTAATTTACAAAATACAATAGTATATGTTATATGTTGCAAGAAAATATATATTCTTTTTGTAATTGGCGCAATTTAAAGATTTTATTTCATTTTTTTTTAATGCATGCATATGTACTACTGAGAAGTAATTTATAATAAAAAATTAACAATATTACCACTTGAATTATATTATTTATGTAACGGTTTTATGTAAAAAAAAGGTAATTTTGTTAATTGTATTTATGTTGTCATTTGATAACTCATATAGGTGAAAAACCTTATCAATGCGACTTTTGTGAAAAAGTATTTACGTGAGTAACAAAAATTATAGGAATTATTAAATAATCTTTTTACTTAAATTAATGGTTAACAAATGATAAATACTTTGCAGTCGGATAGCGAGTCTACACAGACACAAGAAAGAAACGCATTTTAATGTAAGTAATGATTGTGACGATTATGAGAAAGGTTTCGATAATGAACAGGATTTGATTAATCATTTAGCCACGAAGCATTCTGACATCAATGAAAGATCGTATAAATGTGAAACATCCAGCTATATTTAAACGTTTAGACGACCTTAAACGGCATACAAAAATACATGCAAGCGAGAAACCACATGTTTGCGAGGTATGTGCTACAAATTTATTGTTAGTACTTTTTCTAATTATTTCTCATTTGATTGTGTTTATATATTTTTACATTTCTGTAATTATAAATCTGCTATATTTTAGATTTGCGGCAAAGCCTTCAGTACGAAATATTACAAAGATAGTCATTGTTTGATACATAGCGATAAAAAGCCTTATGATTGTTCGATGTGTGGCAAGAATTACACCACAAGATCATCACTTCTTGTACACATGAAAAATAAGGTCATTCATGGTATAACATTTTAATTCATTAGCAGTTTCACATTTGTCTTTCTATTTTTGTTATGTATTCATAATATTATATTATAATAGATTATTGTAATATACCACAACACATGTGATAAATAAAAATTATTTATTTTTTAGGGTCACACAAGTAGCACCACCTGTATAATAAGTCAAGAACAAACTGTAACTGACAACGAAATAGGTCAAGTACAATTATGACTACTTCTAACAATAATGACGAACTGATGAAACAAGTGCAGAATAAAAATGTTACTTTTGTATGAGATGATATATGTATATGTATATCGGAGTTTTCCAGAAGGTACAATTTTTTTCGGAGATACACTATCGGACACAGGAGCACCTTCGTATAAAGTTGACAATGCGTTCAGAGGACAAAATCGTCCAGTAAATCTTCACTGCTTAATCCCTTTAATAATTCTACGTTCTAGTTGGGTTTAAGGTAGTATACTCGCAAACAGAAAACAGAATTTCTTGAAATTGATGCTATACATATTGAACTAGAAGCTAACGTTAATTGAATAATTAATCCATGTTACATAATTATTTCGATGATCTAACAAAATTACTTTCAAATCTAGCAAAACTTTTAAAAATCAACAAAACCATCCTTTCGAAGTACGATTATAAAAAATGACAATAAAATAAAAAGAAAAATTACTTTACAATATAACGCTTACAGTGATTAGATATATAAATCACATGTTATGATACAATTGGATATTGAATTGAATAGAGACTCGTACGAGTTGTGCTCCAGTAAGACAAATCGGCACAAAAGCATTCGCCACGCCATCCCGCTGCCCAGCCTTCGGAGCACATGAATCATTTATCAGTCTCGATCTTCGATCCGAACCGAAATTGTCCGCTTGACGATTCAATCTACATCCACTTAGCCGCTAAACGTCTGCGCCCTTATCGGGCCGCGCAGGACGGCGACAGTCATACGGTGTGTCTTATCGCAGCTGGATCCTCATTTTACGAGTCACGGCAATCGTAAATACGACGAAGAAACACGCGCTCAATCGGCGGAAAGCCACACGACGCGTATCGTGAAAGAACCGTTCAATCAAGCGTGCATCCAATTCAATTCACAGAACGAGAATTCGCCACAAAGGAGACGATTTTATCTCAATAAAGATATATACCTGACTTTTACGCGAACCGGACTGTTAATACGGTAAATTTGAACCGTCAGGTAGGATAGGCTTGAATAATAGTGATTATTTATAAATAAAAATACGATAACTGTCTGTGTATATCGTAAAGTATATATCTCATTCCTAAGATTTTTAATATATCGCATTATCGATCCTAGTACATATTTACAGACATAACCAATCAATTTTGTGTCTTCTAGATGCGACTGAATCGAAACCAGATATCTGATTAGTCAAAGAAACCGCTGTTAATTTGTACGAGCTACACCTGCTACAGAGCCGTATCATTCTTGCGTTATGGTTATATTTTGCCGCAATCAGTTTCATCCGAGTCCGCGATATGCGAAATACGGCGGAAATAATGATTTCGCATTCATGATCAGCGTCGATGGCCGATTTCAGATCTCGATGGTTCCGCGTTCGTCGTGTAAGGCTGATGTCACATTACGTCGCATGAACCGTTCAATGTGACATCAGCCTAAGACTCGTTTCTCTGCCTCCGCGGTGGTACGGTAACCTTTAAACCGAGAAAACGAGCGTCTTCAGGCACGAACACCGCCGTTGCCGGCTGACGGAAATGAAATACGGGTGAGAGACGAAGGCACGAACTTAATTTAGGTTGTTACGGTCGAGCCCGCCGTACTCACGCTCGCCAAAAGCGCACTGGCTGGTCCCAGGCGATAAGTCATTCCGACGATAAGCCGTCCCGTGTGGCGGCGGGACGCAAAACGACGGAGGTGCAGTTGTCCGCAGACAAGTCCGAATTAAGGTTTCAGAAGAAAAATGCACGGGTACGCGACCGTTACCGCCGGAAGGAAAAAAATTTCGCGGCGGAGAGCACGGAATTTCAGTTTTATGGCGGACCGTGTTGTAAAGGATTTTGTCCCGAAGACATCATTGCTGTAAAGCTAATTCAAATGTTTTTAAACAGCACTCGAAATGTATTTCGATTGAAATAGTGGCAAATAAATTATTAAAATATTTTTCACGGCGCATTATCTTTAAATAATTAGGCTCTGCTGAAATAAATCAACAAATAAAAAGTGCCGAGCACTAGATATACCGAATTTGTTATACTGATTTATTGTACTGAAGACGACCCTAACCGAACGGTTGAAACGTTTATATTTCTTATAATGCCATATTTAATAAATTTAATATACACCTCACTATTTAGTGTTTGGCTCTTGTAAGTAATTTTTATTCGTTAGTTTTTCTTTTAATTAGGTGAGAGCTTTAAAAATACGCAAGTTAAATAAAAGCAGTGTTCAGAACACCCTAAAAAATTTTTAACTAACATATTATGTTACAGTTAAATTTACATTAGTTTTAATTGTGAGACAGAGGAGTTTAGAAATAATGAATTTTAAAATCTACTTCCGAGCATTTAATAATATCTTTTTCTTTTTTTTTTGTAGTCATCCCACCCTACCATATAAACGTTAAGTATTAAAATAAAAAACTGTTACCACTACTTGGCAAAAATGTAAGGAATTTAAAGAACTTTGAAAAAGATGCAAAATTGCAGAGCAACTTCTGTAATTTAACAGAATAATTCAATTTTGCAAGATAAAAATTAACCATCTTTTCGAAACAAATGATTTTTTGCGTACCAGATTGCCATCACGTCATCTTTACGTTCATCGCGTTTCAATCTTGACGGAAGTAATGAAACTTCGGCGAAGATACTTTATAAGGAACCGGAGGGCCGGTCCGAAGGTGTGGTCCCTGACAGACAGCCAAGCGTTGGTCTTAAATCCAAAGCCAAGCGGTGAACAGAGTCCAGATCCTTCACATCCTGCGAACCACTTAGTCAACGAAAGAACGTGCTGCCGCGGGAAGATTTTTATCTGGTGTTTGCGGGAACGCGTCGCTCGTTAAACCTCTGATGCACTTTGAGGGTCAACATGTACACAAGGTACCTATAATTTTCTTATCGCGTGTCAATTTAGGAACACTGACATACTGAGATCTTAATTTTATTATTGACAATGCGCATTAATGAATGAGCGACGTGAAAATTTGATCATCGATACATTTCATCATGAGGGATGTTTATATGAAGCTGAATAGTTTGTCCAAGATTTGAGGACAGAGGTATGCATTGCGAAACTAAATTAATCTAGGAAGCTTGTGAGAATAATCTTTAATTGTAAGTTTATTTGGTGATCAATTTTTTAAATTTTCATTCGTTAATTGAATTAATATTAATTTTGATGAATATGCCTTATATTATTATTAATTCTTTTTGCGCATTCTCATTAAAAGTTGTTGAAACTAATTATCTATTATTTTTTAACGTAGTTAGAAAGTAGGAAACGTAAAATATCTTTTAATAAAAGACATTTGGCAGTTTGATTTACTTATAAAAATATTTTTATTATTTAAAAAATATTTTTAATTATTTTCTAATTTATATGTGATTAAAACTGCTAAATATTCTCTATTACAAGATATTTTCTAAAGATAACAACTGATTAGAGTTCCAGCATTTTTCCATGAAATATCTTACAGTTATATATATTATCAAGAAATATTAAATATCAAATATTAGCATCTTTTTAGCAGCTTTTCTGTGTAGCAAGATTTTTAACTGAACGGGACTTTACTTAACTCGAAGAACATAATACTACGCTTGCATAATTTGTGTACGAAACCCTCAATTAATGCCCGAAGCCCGAATGTGCATTTAGATATTAGTTAAGAATATTCCACGCGTTTGCAAGGCTGCTGCAACAAAGTGATTGATCAGTTGCGAATGCGGTGTTTATGCCTCGCGGTCCCCACCGACAATTACGGGTTTGAGGGATGCGTCGTGCCGATAGGTAGGCAAGGTAAGGAATTCGTCCTTCCTAGAAGGAAGATCCCGAGGATGACGAGAGGAATGGCAGTGCCGGGGCTATTGTCCAGTGAAAGAATCGAAGAAGCGTCGGTGGAATGAACCGAGGATGAAGTGAAGGAGGTGGAGAAGGAAGATGGGGGGCATCACCCCCGGGCATGGTATAAATCGCTATGGACAGACAGCATGTTCGACTAATTACAGATCCCTGATTACCGACGGGCGCGACCGCGGCCGCCTAATAAAGAGAAAATAAATTAATAAACCTCTAATATCGTGGCCGGCCGATCTTGCCTGTGGTCTTGGATAAAAAAAAAGAAGTGTTTATTAATTTATTGTGATCGAGGCGCGATAAAAACCGTGGCCATATAGGCACGTCTTCGGATCAAAGGATTCGAAAATGTTCCTCGCATTGCGACGGCTGGAACCGGATCCGCCTTCGTAAACCCTTCTCTTCTGTCTATGTTAATGCGACTTCATCATATCGTCACATACCGAAAATTTATTCCTCCTTCTTACATTAATGTCAAGAATCGTGTCCCCATGCATTATTAAATTTATGTTCCATATTCAACATTTTTACCTGCACTTAGCAGAATTTTTCCTAAAATAGAAAATAATATATATACATCATTTATACGTTTATTAAACATTTATTAACTTTGCAAAAGAAATAGAGATAAATATATGCATAGCCTTTTCGAGAATTTAATCTAAAATAGAATCTCGAAACGCAAAGTAATTTCACATTATGGTTTAAAAGGCCAAAATATCTCCCACGCGGAGTACATAAATTATCTTGCCTAGTAGAAAGGTTAATTAAGCACACAAGATTTATCTCTGATTTCTCGACCGGCACATCTCAATTTACCTAAGTTTCGAATTAGCAAATAGACTAACGTTCCTAGTAATCTTCTACGCCGAAGGTTAAAGAAACCATTAAAGAAATCGTCGACGAGAATTGGACTGCCGCACGTATCGAATGGGCGGTGATAATGCGGTGGGAAAGAGAGAGCTGTTGACTCGAAGGAGGAGATAAGGAGAGATAGCGGAACACGGTGAACTTCCGCGTGGGCCTGTCTTGGGCCCGCAAAATGGCGGTGACAGAGGCGTTTGTCCGTTGCGGCGACCTCGGAAGGATTTATATTCACGGCAGCGAAGATTCAACCGGAGTTACCCAACAAGGCAGCCGAGACCCC